TTTCCCTGTTGTAACCTCTCTGAAACAGTCTCCAGCTGCCACCCAAACTCCAGAAGCACCTGGGCTCCAAACACCACAGGACTCATCCACCCTAGACTGGCTGGTTATGCCTTCAGGTAGCAACCCCCCCCCCCCCCCTCATGTGCTTTTTCTGAGAAATCTCCTGTGCATTTTTCAGACAGTCAGTTCTCTCTCTCTCTCTCTCTCTCTCTCTCTCTCTCTCTCTCTCCACCATGGGTTGTGGCTTCTCCCTCAACCCCCTTCTTGGGCTGCTGCCAAACTTGGTAGCTGCCTTGAAATCCAGTCAGGCCTTTACTGATCCATGCAACAGCAATCAGCCGCACATCTTCATCACCATCATTAGCAGATTTGGAAGACAGTAGGGAATTCTTAAAGGGAGGAATTAGTTAAAAGAGAGAGTTTTTCCCACATTAAAAAAATGGGCAAAACAATTACAATGGAGAAATTTGGGTCTTTGTATGATAACATGCTAGACGGTTTGAAAATAGAATGATTAAATGAGAGGTTATCTAATTTAGATGGGATTTATGTAATGTCAATAATAAACATCATCAGCTTTATCATTTTGTTTTATCACTAAAAAGATGGTTAATCTGAGTGCTAAGATACAGGACATAGAAAAACCTAGTAAATTAGATCTCATAGATACTCAAATCTAGACAGAGGAATTAGAACAGCCTGAGATTTTTCAAACAACCAACCTTAATATATCCAGTAACCTTACAGGAATTGCCAAATGAGAGAGGCGTTGTTACAGCTAACTGAACTCCTATGCCACTGTTAGTTAGATTTAAGAAGATTCAAGGAAGCAATAGTCTCATATGGCATGCACACACCTTTTGTGAAGCAAATGTTAAACTCGTGGTCAGTTTGCAATAGAATTATCCCTAATGACTGGATAGAGTTGGTTAAAGCTGTTTTAGAGCCTGGTCCACAATTACAATGGAGTAGACAGGAGGCTAAGATTATTGAACCATGGAGTAAAGTGAGAGGTAGGGAAATTTCCCAAGATCAAATTCTTGGAGAAGGAGACAATGCTGCTATAAAAAGGCAGGCTGTATATGATGACCACATCCTGAATTTATGCCAGGCAGAAGCTTTGAATGCTTGGGACAGAATTGGAGAAATAGGAAAGAAATTAAGTCATTTACTAAAGTTATACAAGGTCCAAAGGAAGACTTTATGGATTTCTTACAAAGAATGACTTCAGCAGTAAATAGGATGATAACAAATTTGGAAGCTAGACAAATAATAATAGACTTTTTGGCTTTTGAGAATGCCAGTTCTGTATGCAAAACAATGACTAGGTCATCAAAGGTAAGGTCAACACCTTTGAAGAAATGGATTCAAGATACAATTAATATCGAATCTCATGACCATGATGATACATGGCTAGGAACTTTATCTCAGGTAAAGCAGAGCATGAAATGGGTCAAATGTATAGGGCTAGAAGGACAGAGAGGAACAGTAAAACCATACGTGGCTAACATAGAAATAAACTTGGGATGTGATTTGTTACAGCAATGGAAAACTCAGTTCAATATTCTCCTAATCTTAGAAACAAACCATATATTGCATATAGTTATTGTACTTATTGTATATAGTTTTTCTTATATAAGTTATAGCCTTCTTTTTATTTTAGACAAAAGGGGAAATATAGTTGTATATTACTTGTGTTTTAATAAATATAGTTTGCCTGAAGATCAGTGCAAACAGTCACACTAGTCAGCCATACAGGCCAGGCCGTGGTGGCACACACTTTTAATCCCAGCAGCCACACTAGTTAGCCATAGAAACTGGGTGCCCACCTTTAATCCTAGCACTAGAGAGGAATATAAGGCAGGTTGAGACAGGAACTCACTCATTTTCAGTATGAAAATTTCTTAGAGGTAAGAACTCTCCAGTGGCTTGGTTGCTTTGCTTTTCTGATCTTCACGTTGAACCTCAATATCTGTTTCTGGATTTTTATCATTCATGCTACCCATATATACATATATGTATATGTTATGTGTATGTACTACTTAGTAACATAAATATTTCAGCCACACTGTCAGTTATATATTCTGTATAGCAACTTCCTCAACTCTTTGTTATTTCATAACTTTTCATTGTAATCTGGGTGTGGCCTCTGCTTTGTGGTTTTTGACAAGGCTAAGTCAATGTGTCTGCCAAGGCCTTTGCTCTCATGTAAAGGCGCAGGCACGGGAAGGCTGCACGTCCATGCTAGTCAGTTGTTTACAGGATTCAGTTCCTTGAGGTGGTTGGGCCGAGAGTTTTAGTTCCTCCTTGGCTTTTGGCCATACCCACCCTCAGTTCATTGCTATAGGACTTCTCCAACACTAGCAGCTTGCTCCACAGAGAGTTGGTCATCCGGATAGAAGCCATGGTTTTATGTAGCCAGCACCTTTTCTATATCCTAGTAGTTGGACGTTATCCACAAGGCCCAACTCATGTTCAAGGGGAAGTGAATGCACCTTGCAAGGATGTGAGCATCACCAGAGCCATTTTTGCAGACTACTTGCTATATCCATCTATTTTAAATGCATGGTAGCTCATGAATACCTCCCAGTCACAGATGGAAATACAAAAATCAAGAAAGCTGGTGCTTGGCTCTACTGAGAAATGATTGCTTTATATGTATTAATTTTCATCTAGTTATTTTTGCATATCCTGACAACTTAAAGCACATTTCTATGTTATTATAAGCTATTTATAAACATTATTTTAAAAAATTCATGCTACTTTAATACCTTACATTTAGTTTCCATAGAAAGCAAATCAGACACTTCCCATAAACAATCATTTATTTATTCTATACTACAGTATGCCCCCTTTTCAGATTCCCCTGGGTCAAAAAACTGTTTGCCTGTTTCTTCCTGTGTGGGGGATTTTGCCCAGAACTGTGTACATGACAGGCAAGGGCTCTGCTACTGAGCCTCATCCTACTCCCCCTCTTCCTCTTCCTGCATTATTTTTGATGTTTGAAGGTTCAGAATTCAGTGGGTTTGTAGGACAAGGAAAAACACCTAATGTCGGTAGTGCATCAGTTGAACCCTAGGCTAGCCCCACTATAAGATTGAGGAAAATTCCAAAGGGCCACTTGATGTTATTTATTTATTTTTTTTTATGGGTCACTGAGGCTTTTATTCTGCATGTAGAACCGCTGGGGCAAGGATCTTTCCTGTGGCCACCCTAGAGATTACATTGGGCTCCAGACACTAGCTTGGAAGTGAGGTGACAATGATTCGGACCAGTCACATGATTACAAAGCTGGGGTTCCCCGCAGGCCTCCAGGTGGTTGGGCGGACTGAAGACGACTAAGGAAGCAGTGGCATGGGAGGCGCAAGCACTGGGCCGGCCTTGAGCCGCCTTGATGACGTCAGGGACGGGGTCTAAGCAGCTGGTGGCTCCAGGGATCTGCATCCACTTTACTTGGCCAGGGGGTTCCTGAAGCACCTGCCGGCAAACTTTGTCTTGCTGCCCAGCTCTTCCTCGATTCTAAGAATCTGGTTGTACTTGGCCAGGCGCTCGGATCGGCAAGGGGCACCAGTCTTGATCTGCCCAGTGCAGAGCCCCACTACCAGGTCAGCGATGAAAGTATCCTCAGTCTCCCCAGAGCGATGGGACACCATGACGCCCCAACCATTGGACTGGGCCAGCTTACACGCCTGCAGAGACTCGGTCATGGAGCCAATCTGGTTCACTTTGAGCAGGAGGCAGTTGCAGGACTTCTCACTGACAGCCTTGGCAATCCTCTTAGGGTTGGTCACTGTGAGATCGTCCCCAACCACCTGGATATCTGAGCTGGCTGTGAACTTCTTCCAGGCTTCCCAGTCATCCTGGTCAAAGGGGTCCTCGATGGACACCACTGGATACTCCCGGATGAAGGACTTGTACAGGTCAGCCAGCTGGTCAGGGGTGATGTACCTGCTGGCGTCATCAGGAGACTTGAAGTCCAGGTCATTCTTCCCGGACCTGAAGAACTCAGAGGCGGCCACGTCCATGCCAATGACAACCTGTTCAGTGTAGCCAGCCTTTCCAATTGCGTTCTTCAGCAGCTCCAGAGCTTCTTTGTTCTCCAGGATGTTAGGCGCAAACCTGCCCTCGTCACCCACATTGGTGGCGTCCTTCCCATATTTCTCCTTGATGACATTCTTCAGGTTGTGATAAACCTCTGCTCCGATGCGCATGGCTTCGTGGAAACTGGTCGCCCCCACAGGGAGGATCATGAACTCCTGCATGGCCAGCTTGTTGCCAGCGTGAGACCCGCCGTTGATCACACTGAAAGCTGGGACTGGCAGGATGACTTCAGTGTTGCCAGCCAAGTCAGCGATGTGGCGGTAGAGGGACACCCCCTTTTCTGCAGCACCAGCTTTGCAGACAGCCAGGGACACTCCCAGGATGGCATTGGCACCGAATTTGGATTTATTCTCGGTGCCGTCCATCTCGATCATCAGCTTGTCGATCTTCTCCTGCTCCACCACATTCAGTTTCTTGCTAACCAGAGCAGGTGCGATAGTTTTATTGATGTGCTCAACAGTCTTTGAGACACCCTTCCCCAAGTAGCGGGTCTTATCATTGTCACGGAGTTCCAGGGCCTCATAGATGCCAGTGGAGGCACCGCTGGGCACGGCAGCCCGGAAGAGACCTTTTGAGGTGTAGAGATCAACCTCAACAGTGGGATTCCCACGGGAGTCAAAGATCTCTCGGGCGTGGACCTTGAGAATAGACATGGCTTGTTTCTGGCAGTCGGCGTGCCGTAGAGGAAGAGCGCAGAGGTTCCTGCACACACCCTGGAGAGCATTCAGGAGAGTCGTGCGCGCGACCTGGGAGCTCCCACTTGATGTTATTAATGTTGAGCCTTACTATGATGAAAGTTATATTTAAAAACATACAATTTTAGAGATGGTAATGTTAGTGCTGTTACTAAGCTTACTTCTGATCTTCAGCCTGGTAGGTTTGAAAGGGTGAATACCTTCTCAATAAACAACGCCTCGTTGCTAGGCATAGGAACTGAAAAGTTCGTCCATGAATTTTAATGAGAAACTAAATTGTGAAGAAATATAGATGGTTGGGAACTGGAGAGCTAGCTCAGCACTGGCTGCTCTTGCAGAGGACAGGGGTTGACATCCCAGCACCCACATGGCAGCTCAGAGCATCCGTAACTCCAGCTCCAGGGGCTCCAATTCCTTCTTCTGAGCGAGCTCTGCAGTTACCAGGCACACATGTGGTACATGTGTGCACTTGCAGGCACAGCACTCGTATCCGTGAAATAAAACAAATAAATCCTTTAAAAAAATTAAAAAATAGACAGGTAGTAAAGGACAATAATTCATTTAAATATTTAATGTGATGGAAAGGAGAGAGCCAGGGTGATGCTAAAGGTTGAGAGAGAGCTGAGGGAAGCTGTTCTGGGGATGTTATTTACTGTCTTAATGAGCCCGATGTCAATCATCAGCATACTACTATACATTAATATGAAAAAGCAACCTATGCAAATAAGTTTTATACTGTTTAGTGCTACTGTCCATATCTGAAAATAGTGTTGGTCTTATTTAACTAATGGTTTTATTAATTCTAAAATGTTAGTTAATTACAGTAGTTTTAGTTCATAAGATTACCATAACAGTCTTGTCTATAGCAGATATCAAACATGGATTTATTTATTTTATCTTCGGCGTATGAGTGTTTTGCCTGCATGTGCATGCAGTGTCCAAAGATTCCTGAAGGAGGGGTCTGATGCCCTGGACCTGGAGTCACAGAGGGTTGTAAGCTACAGTGTAGATCCTTCGCAAGAGCAGCCAGGGCTCTTAACTTCTGAGTCGCATGGAGGCGCGTCTTCAGCACCTAAAGTCAACTCTTACTCAGATGTAGAGAAAAGTGAAAGTATGCTATTTTTAGGAAAACGTATGGAACTAGAGGTCACAGTGTTAAGCAAAATAAGCCAGACTCAGAAATATAAATTTGCATGTTTCTTCTCCTGTGTGGAGCTTAGGTTAAAAACTACATAGAAATAGAAAGGTCAGTATTTGGGGTTTTGGAGGATAGTGGGAGTGAGGAACAAGGGAGAGTGATTTAAAAGGAGACACATATTGTGTGATTTCTTTCAGAAATCAAAATGTATATATACGCACACACGTATGTATGTATATATATGTATACATATATACATATATAAGACATGAAAGCAGAAGTGGGACTCTTTGGAGAGAGGGCCAAGGGGAAGAAAACAACACAAGTAACATAGAGGGATATGAGCAATATATACATGTATGAAAATGAAGTTTTCAGATTTCTACATGTCACATCCCTACCCAAAATGATCAATGGCAGATTTTTCTGCTAGTTATTAAAATAACAGACCAATTCTTTTGTTTAGTAATTAAAAAGGTAGCAAAAGATTAAAGGGATAAAAACCATACTTTCAGAAATTAATATTTGAAGTTTTTTTTATAGTTCAATACAAATGGAAAGCCCCGTGATAAGTTTTGTGAGCCACATTAATAAACCAGGATCTTTGAAAACCAGCCTTCTGTAAATGTATGTGGGGATTCTTATGCCACTATCTCACTTAATTAATTGTGTATGAATATTTACCTGCTTGTATTTATGTGTAACATGTATGTTTGATGCATGAAGAAGTTAGAGGAGGCATCAGATCCCTGGGAACTAGAGTTACAGACTGTTGAAAACTGTCGTGTGAATGCTGAGAACTGGATCCAAGCCCTCCACAAGAGCAGCCAGCACTCTTAACAGCCGAGCCATCTCTCTACAGCCCATATCTCTCTCATGGAAAATAAAGTAATAGGGGCTGGAGAGATAGCTCAGAGGTTAAGAGCACTGGCTGCTCTCCCAGAGGTCCTGAGTTCAATTCCCAGCAACCATGTGGTGGCTTACAACCATCTGTAATGAGATCTGGTGCCCTCTTCTGGCCTGCAGTCAGAACACTGTAGACATAATAAATAAATAAATTTAAAAAAAGAAAATAAAGTAATAAAATAAAAAGCAGGTGAAGTCATTCACACTGGTAATTCCAGCCTTTGTGAGGCCGAGGCAGGAGGATCTTGCATTTGATGGCAGCCTGAGCTAGACAGTGAGACAAAGAAAGCAGACTCCGTATGGAGACTCTTCAATGTCTATCCTCATTTTGTGAAGTAGATTGGTACTGCCAGGAGCAGAGAGATATGTCTCACTGTCATGAAAAGCCCCATTATTAAAACATTAAAGGGCCATATTCTGTAAGTCTCTAAAGCATTTAAAGATCACATATCTATCAATAATATATTTCTGTATGACCTTGAAAACATCCCTAACAAGACTACAAGTTTGATTGTTATAAGATGACTACTAGCCTTTATTTTTTATTATCCTAAATAGCTTTTAAGGACTAAAACTTTACATTTTTAAATGAGCTGCATAAGTATAATACCTTAAATAAGAAATAAAAACATATAATACAGTAAAACAAAGATAACCTTAAATTTGTATCACTATACAAAAAGCCATGCCAATGTAAAATATTTAAGATTAGTTGTTGTTTAAAACTAGATTCAAGGGCCGGGCGGTGGTGGCGCACGCCTTTAATCCCAGCACTCGGGAGGCAGAGGCAGGCGGATCTCTGTGAGTTCGAGACCAGCCTGGTCTACAGAGCTAGTTCCAGGACAGGCTCCAAAGCCACAGAGAAACCCTATCTCAAAAAACCAAAAAAAAAAAAAAAACTAGATTCAACAATCTACCTTTTTATCCCATCATTTCTACATTATATTCTCTTTTTTTTCTTTCAGAAAGAGATCCTTACATCTAGTCTCCTTTGTTCAGGTTTTTTTTGACCATGGCTAAGAACAACTTGTATGTAACTGACCCCTAAACAATGACAGACATCCATAGTACACCAAATGACCAAAACCAACTTACACCCCACTTCTTGGGAATGTGGTCACTGTGATTTCTAGACTACTTCCTGTTGTTTGGGGGCACTGTCATCTTTGGGGGACCCTGAAAAAAATTAGGATAATGGTTAAGTCCTGGCTAGAATAGTCTATGAGGCTGGACCATCTCAGCAGCTTTGAAGCTGTTCTGGATTCAGAACTCTGAGGAAGCTGCAGCAGAGGCACTATGAGAGCCTGGATCAGCTGGCTACCCATTTTCTTTGGTGCCTGGTCCCATTGCACTGAAAACATAAACTTTCAAAGTTAACATACATATCTGCAGTAACACACACATGGGCTATGTATTGTACACAAACCAGCCAAAGATGATCTTTTTTTAATTTTATGTTTGAACAGGTAAAATATATGCAACCTGTCTTGTCTTTCTTTTAGGTTTATTTCTTTATGTCTGTAGTCAGCATTTTCAGGGGGTCTCCCCCAATCAAACTTGATCCTCTTTAACCTTGAACGAATTCACAGCCTTTTGTTTTCTGTGGGAAAAAAAAGCATAACCTTTTCCCCAACATAATAATTTTTTGACTTTTATTTTGAAGTTAAGATATTTAAAAATATACAGGTTGGTTTAATTTAGTAATTTTCATAATATGATGTCTCTTAGCAGGTATTGTTTGCTCATCAGCAATTAAAAAATTTAAAGTCAATGCAACGCCATAAAGGATCCAGACCCCCTGTGCATTTTCATCTCTATATGACTTATTTTTATATCACTGTACTTCTCTCTTCAAAGACTTCACTTTATTATTTTTAAACTATCCATTTTTTCTATTACTGTCTATATCCTTTTTCTTTTTTCTTAAGATTACACACATTTTCAAATACACTGTAATGTGTTTAGAGGTTTTTTTTCTTGTTTGAATCTGCTTTGCTACATATCTGTAGTCTTTTCTGTCTGCATGAACAAAATTTTAAACCAATGTACAGCTCAGCTCATGTTGTGCTGACAGGGCTCATGCTGGCAGCTCAAGCCCGCAGGCAGCGGCCAGCAAATGTCTTTCTGTACCATGACCATGCTTGGCTCCATTTTTTGTGTGTTTGAAACTTTTTAAAAAGCTTTCTCAGATCTTAAGTGGAAATATGTGCCCCATGTTGGGCACCATTTGTTGATGAATATTTCTTTCAGCCGTCAGCTCACAAAAATCTACACAGAGGCTTAATATTAATTATGAAAGCTCTGCTGGTAACTTAGGCTTGTTCCTAACTAGCTCTTATAACTTAAATTAACCCATTTCTGGTAATTTATGTGCTGCCCCGTGATTCATGGCTTGTTACCTTTCCTGCATGTCTTGTTTCTTCTTGTCTGCTGGTAACTCCTGGCATCTCTGTCCTTCTTCTTCCCAATGTTCTCTCTGCCCTGAAAATCCTGTTTAGCTATTGACTATTTAGTTTTTTATTAAACCAACTACAGAGACATATATTTACTCAGTATATTGGAATATTCTATAACAGTAGATAAAGAGAAATAGGTTAATTTAAGTTAAAAGAGCTAGTCAGAAATGAACTAAGACCAAGCATTTAAAACCAGTAAGTCTCTATGTCATGGTTTGGGAGTTGGCTAGTGGCCCCATAGAAAAAGCCAGATACATCACTTGTAATTTTTTTACTACTACTTCCTGAACTATGGGAGTCCCACTCATAGCTACATGGCTTTATTTGTGGGTCTCCTATTCTGCTGGTCTCTGCATCTGTTTTTATGCCAATATCATGCGGCTTTTGTTCCTGTGGCTCTATGGTATAATTTGAAATTTAGTATCATGATGTCTCTGGGAATGCATATTTTTCCTTAGGATTGTTTTGTCTAC